TTTATCAGCACGTGACCTTGTTTCAACCCGGCCTGGCGACTCTTTCTGCACTCTTCATCGACTTGCTCAGTTTGTAATCCCAACTGCTGGGCCTAAACCCTAAACCCTAAACCCTAAACCCTAAACCGGAAACCCCTGAGTTTGTAAATCGTTGTGCCGCGCTCCAGGAAGGCTGCGGCTGGGGCCCCTGCCTCGACAAGGCAAGCCTCACTCCGGGCCTGAAACTTGCGAATGGAGCCCCGCGGCTGAAATTGGGGCTAGGGCGGATGCTAGGGCTGAAGTTTAGGGTTTAAGGTTTAGGGTTTAGGGTTTAGGGTTCAGGGTTTGGGGTTTAGGGTGCACTGTCCTTGGCAAGATGGTGCAGTGATTGCGGCTCTTTGCTGTACGGCCGCTATGAGGGGTTTTTGTGTCCGTTGTCATCCGCAGTTTTCCAGTGAGCTCTTGCCTTAAGAGGGGGTGAGAGTTGCGCGGGGCGCTGGCCGGCACCTCAGTCCGTTTAGGAATCAGGGTTTGGGGCTTATGTCATCCCGGTCTGCATGCCGAGAAGCCCTCGATATCTCTGGAGGCAAGGAATGTATGCCGTTGTCTTCGTGAACTCCTTGGCCCTGCGGCATAAGCGGATCCCCGAAACGGGATTTAAAACTGATAAGCTGGCCGCATTTCAGCCCGCATAGACTTCCACTTCCAAGTCCCAAAGTTACCCTGCATACACCTGCATCAGAGCTTCCCAAGCGCAGCCCATAGAGTGGCGTTGTGTGTTGTGGTTAGAGCTGTTGTCGCGTTTGCCTCATCTGTGTTCGGACCGAGTTTGTTGCCCTAAACCCTAAACCCGAAACCCTGAACCCTAAACCCTAAACCCTAAACCCTAAACCCCTAAACCCTAAACCCTTGTTGACGGCAAGCGGGCTGAAGTCTGGAGTTGCTGAGGAACTTTTGGCAGATTGCTTTACTTGGCAGCTGCGCCCGCAAGTGCCCACCAGCAAGTGGACCCCAGCCTTGTCCACAGGCCTCGCGGGGGGCGTGGGGCTGTTTTTGATGAGAGTATAGGACAAGATAGTGTCGATGTGCAGGATGATTGTTAAAGAGGGGCCTTTTACTTTAATTATCATAAGGAACCCCAAAATAATATTGGTAATCTTTTCGGCCCCTCTATTATTCAAAAGCATCTCAAGCGAGCCAGCCAAGCACCATGATTGCAGACTCGTGCCAAAGTATTGGTGTCATGCAGGTTTTGCAAAGCAACAAAACGGTACCTTGGCAGAATATTCCACTTCTGACAGTTGAAGAATTCAGACGTACGGCCGGTGTTGCCCGATAGAGAACCGCATGTAATGGCAGCATCTATACAGTACTGCGCCGAGGTTGTGCTACATGACAACCAGGGTAACGAACAGTACTCGCAGCAAGAAGTAGGAGCACCACAAGATCTGCGACCACAAAACGTACAGTTGCAGGTCTTTGGGCATCGGGCAAATTTAGGCCCCAGATCTGGACCGAACAGGTGTTGCCTTCTTTGATTGGGGGAGCTCCCACTACGTGCCCATCAACCGTGGTGCCGGCCTTATCTTGCTTTGCAGTTATGAACTTCTGAGAATTCACATTCTGTCGTGGGTTCTAGCGACCATCCCATAGCCGAAGGTCAGCCTTGGCTGTGAGATGGTTGCAAGATGCCTTGCTGACATGGGACAGCCGAGGCCACTTTGTCCTGAACAACCTGTGGCACAAGGCCCGGTAGTGTCGGTATCGAGATTGTATTCAGATAAGTACACAGCTTCCGTTCTGAGGCATCGCCCGCCGCTCCGGAAAACTGTATGCCTGAAGCCTTGGAACCCCGAATTTCTAAACATCGTCGAGAAGTGGTCCGCGAGTCTGGCTGAGTCCGAGTTGCGAGAGCGTAAAGGCCCTAAACCCGGTGTTCTACTGTTGATGATATAGATCCTGCATGACCTTAAGGGCCCTACTGTCGACTATGGGAATTATGGTATACTCCTTATTATGGGTACCCTCAAGGGCCCTAGACTATGGGAATTATGGGTATATTCCTTATTATGGAGTAATGCAGGACCTTATGTCATCATCCGTAGTGATCCCTCAACCCTAAACCCTAAACCTTGAAACCCCAAACCCTAAA